TAAATAGGCCACGAATTCCATGTTCACTATAATTGATTTAGTCAAATTAATCGGGCCGATTTTACTGCCGCCGACTTCTACCACAGAAGCTTCCTTTATTGCTTGCAATTGGCACTTTACCATTCTATTGGACATAATGAAAATGATACGAAAAATGCTGCCAGCAACCTGCACTTGCATTACTAATGCATTAAAAGTCGTCACATCTTTATGGCCGGTTAAATATGCAAATCATTTTTTGGCATGCTCCATATCCCCAGCAAATAAAATGGATTTTCGGCGATATTTGCTACTAGCTGGTGTACAGCCTGCGTAAGACCTCGGATGATGCCATCTCTTTGTACGGTCTTTTTTATACAGTTTTGCCATACCTGTGTAAAGGTGAGGAAAGGCCTGCATTTTTACTTTCACTGTGTCTAGGGGCTGGGCCGGCTATTACTAAGGCTATCCCGCCTAGAATAATAAAAAATACCGAACATATATTGCACTCATGCATCAGTGATGTCAATTTCCGTAAATAAAATTATAACTAAGGCAAACAGAATGTAACTCATGAACGAAAACTAATTCTAACAAAAAATTGGGGATAGGATCAACAACCATGGCACAAACCATGCAGCAGTGATGTCAATTTCCATTTTGAAATACATAATAGAACAACTACAATCATTATTAACTTCCCGCAGGGTAAGTTATAGTAATCGCAAAAAAATCGAAAATGAAAATTTTTATATATCTTTACGTTTCAAAGATTTCTGAATATTTTGGCATACCTTACGTGTGTATATGTGTGTGAGTGTATGTGCGAATACAAATTTTCGTCGACGATTTCGGGGAACACCGATCAAGCGATTTGAATAATTCAAAAAACATTCGATTCGCGTTTGATAAAGAGACATGCTGATTAGTTTTTGGCAAAGGCAGGTCTAGCCGTTCTGAAGATACGGGGCAAAAGTGCCAAAAACGGTAACTCAGTTTTTAAAATAACGGAGCGTCTGATTTTAATAATTCAAAAAACATTTTACTTGTACTGGCAAGATGAAAAACTGATTAAATTTTTGGGAAGGCAGGTCCAACGGTTATGGACTCTCAATAAAAATAAGTTAAAAAAATGTCATTTGGTGGTCAAAAATGTTTATTGTAACATATGTATTTAAAATTATCAGATATTTCATAGAGATTTTAATAATGTGTACACATTTTGTGTATTTTTTTTTGGGTTCCGTACCAAGATTTTTGATTACGGTACGGGAAGACCCAGCAATTTGCCCTAAGCCACAATGCCATGCACCCCACTAGTTTAAATTTCTTTACTATTTAATAGAATAATATTTAGTGTTAGTGGTTACGATTACATTATTTAAAATAATATTAAATCCTTAAACCTCAGAAATCTCATAGCCTTTACAATTTCGTCATAAAATACAATCTTATGAAACAAATTTGCACATTGCATAAACAATTAAAAAAAAAAAAAAAAAATATATATAAATACCTAGAGATCCAGCTATAAAATCTATACAGCCATCCTTGAAATTACTGCTCTTTTCCTTTGATTTTTCCATTATCACTACTATTTCATCACTTTTTACACTTACAATAAATAACCAATATATTTACACTAAATTATACGGCCGGCGTACACATGATTACCTAATATATACAAAATAAAGTTTACACATATTTTTTTAACATCTTTACATAAAATAATTAATTAAAATGAATTTATATAAATTTTAAAACCATGCATTATTTTGAGGTTATCTCTTGCCATGGTCGAGTTGAAAATGATCTTCTGTCTATATATTTCAAGTGAGAATTATTAGATGGCGCAAATACATATTATATTATTACCATTGAAAGAAAACTGGCTATTGTAGGTTTACTTATGTGAAAATAAGTATTAATTTTTATAATAAAAGAACAGTATTTTTTTGAAAAATTATAAAAATTTCCGTTTCCTGTGGTATATATTTTTTCACCAATCACATGTTCCAATTAGACTCCGTTTATCCTTATTGAATCCTCTAGGAACATTTACTTTGAAATTTTTTTTTGCTAGTTATATTTAATTGTAGAATTATATGTGAATGCTTTGAAGTTCAGAAATCATTTACTAAAATAATATTGTTATATCTAATTCAAAATCTTCAATAAATTTTCCCCCAATCACATATTCCAATTAGATTCCGGTTATCCTTATTGAATATCAAGGAACATTTACTTTGATTTTTTTTACTAGTTATATTTAATTGTAGAATTATATTTGAATACTTTGATGTTTAAAAATCATTTACTAAAATAATATTATTGTATCTAATTCAAATCTTTATTGCATATTTTTCCCCCAATCGCATATTCCAATTAGATTCCATTTATTCTTATTGAGTCTCCAGAAACATTTACTTTAAAAAAAATTTTCTTTACTAGCTATGTTTAATTGTAAAATTATATGTGAATGTCCTGATGTTTTAAAAATCATTTACTAAAGAAATATTGTTGTATTTAATACAAATCTTGATTGCATATTTTTTTCCCAATCACATATTCCAATTAGATTCAGGTTATCCTTATAAGGATAACAATATAAGGATAACAACATATTGAGTCTCCAGGAATATTTAATTTGAAAAATAATCTTTAAAAGCTCTATTTTACCATAGAATTATATGCAAATGTTCTGATGTTCAGAAATCATTCAACAATATATCGTTCAACTTATGCAATAGGTATAAGTGGATCCAATTGAAACTATAATAAAGATTTGAATTTGATTCAACAATGTCAAATATAATATAATATATAATATAATACAACATATTATATATAATATTGTTGTATCAAATTCAAATCTTCATTATAGTTCCAATTAGATTCCTCTTATACCTATTGTATCTTCAATCTGAATCTATTAATTCAAAATAATATTGTTCACAAGATATATTTTATTGCTAGTGACTAAGTATATGATAATGAATAACAAAACAGTTTTACTTTACGTTTTGTAATTTAAAATATATCTTTGTCATCAATGCAATTCAACGAAATCATATTTTTATGTGTTATGTGACACCATTGAACGACATATGACCCTTTACAACGTAATTTTTTCAAAGTGTTAAATAAATAAATACATGAACTAGATTTTTTATAATAATGATATAATGGACTTTGCTCTTACCAAAAGAGATTATAAAAAATTGTATCAATTTTGCTAAGAAGATACATGAATACATTTTCATAATTGGTTTGAACTACCTTAATAATAAACAGATGCATGTTGTTCATTACAAGTTATTAAAACATGAACAAAAGGTTATAAAAAGTTTATTTTAGATTTTAATACCATCTAATACATATATTGTTTTTATAATGCTTATATTAAACCAACTATAACTACTTAAAATTAATCAGTAAAAACGTATTTCATTAAGTTTATGAATATGTGTTTAATTCCTATCACTATATCTAAAAAAATTAAAATAATACTTTAATTCATAAAATACCATATCGATTAAAATTCAAAAGAAATAAAAGATCATGAACATCACGAAGCAAAGCTTGTGAATATTTAAAAAAATCATTTCATTACTGTTTAATTCATAAACAGCAAGTGTAAAGTGCAGCATTGTTCAAAGACGTGAATAACCAATAGTTAGTTACTGATAAGAAATCAGTTGAAAACTAATTATTCAATCTTTATTTTCAGAATGCACGTGCCTTGTAGATGGATCTTCTATGCCGATCTCCATCCACAGTTGGAGCATTTCTTCTGTCTCCAATGGCAGCAACAAAGTATTCCAATTGGGAATAAAACCAGAGCACAGCAAATTCCACAAAAAGTATAATTATTTTTTAATTCGCCAACTCTGCAAGATGGACATTGGCCCAAAACAAGAGGTCCTCCGCCTGATATTTGGTTAAGAGTTATAGAAGCGGGTACAGGAGCTGGTTGTTGATGCTGAAAAGTGGATAATATATCTAATAGCCACTTCCAAAAATAAGATGACATGGAAATATATAAATATAAATAAATTTGCACATTGTAGCAGAGCACAAAAACTAACCACATCTTGCAAACAGTTTTTTATTTTTTAAAATCAAACAAGAAATTGGCTTACATACCCACACACACTTCACACATACATTTTCCAATGTTGGTGTCAAACGATTTAAAATAGTTTGAAACGTCTAGTCTACACAATATTATCAAATCGCACTTTCTGGTTAAAACAAATTTCTTCTTTAGAAAAATAAAAACTATGTAAATATTAAACATTAGAGATAAACCGCGATTGCTCAAATAAATACATTAAAAGATAAATTTTTAGTTAACATTCAGTTGGATTCTGCGAAATGTTTTTATCCGACCGGACGAACAATTTCCTATATAGATAAAAACGCTAAAATTGATCGAAAAATTTGTTGATCAATATTTAACATATAAGGTAATGAAATACCATTATTTAAGCTAAGAATATTTATTTTTCTAATAAACTTAAACCTCATCGTTCAATATCGATTTTGAAACTCAAAATTAAGAGTTACGTAATAATAGAAACCAAATCAAGCTTTAAATAAATAAAAATATTATATTATATTCTGAGTGAAACTAGATTGAAAAAAATATATTCTTATTAATAATATTTATGGTATTTTTGAGTACATTTTTGTGTTTTATGTTACGTATGTGTATTTTGCATACATAACACATTTCATGCGGGGAATCCCAAAATTCTTTATTCTAACAATAAGGGAACGCCGCTGACTGGGAGGAGTTTGCATGTATAAATCAGAGAATTATAGGTAAAAATTTAGTTTTTTGGGTTTAAAAGTTTATTTTGATATTACTTGATCATAAACGAACTGCTATTTTAAAATATTTAGCTATACCAAATTAATATATATTGAAATTTCAGTACTAAGGACTCAAATATTGTTTGGATATATTTTTAAATAAATAATTTAGAAATGCAAATCAATATAAATAAAGTAAACTTACTATTATTGTAGGCGTCTGGTTTAATTGTTGGGGAAAACCATCTATGTATGCTGGGGGCGCACTTGAAACTTGATGCACTGGTGGATAGTATTTATTCATATTGTGTGATTCTGATTCCATTTTTATTAAAAATGTCAAATGTTATTATAAACTTTATTAAAGTTATAGATCTAAATAAAACTGAAGCGAAGCACTCACACTTAAGCTTACGTTAGGTCAACGTATTGTAATACAATAACTCTTCAGATAGCAGAATCCTTATCTTAGTTTGAAAAAAAATTGCAAAGCAAAATAAATATGAGATTGGATAAGGAAGAAAACCGACTTAACGGCGCGATGTGATGGCGCTAAGTTTAAATCCGTTAATATATCAAATAGAATACAAAACTCAAATTTTGTACAAAACTTTTATAACATGTTATGATTGTATGAATTTGAAAAACATTAGTAAAATATTTACAACTTGAAGACTTTACTGTGAATAAAGATTTTCATATTTGGCGGTTGGCGCTGTTAGCAAATTAGTTTGATCAAAAATCACCAGTGGCGCTTTTGCATAAGTCTCCGTGTTCGTTGTTGGCAGCATTGTAAAAAGAACGTGCATTAACTACTACTTCACAATACACAGTCCAAACTGGAACCTTAACCTACAAAATATAAAACGCGTTCAATAAATAAACTTAAAATCTACGAGTTATTTATTGTACATACGAATTTATAAATCAAGAGCAAAATTTATATAATCCACAATGTATCTCATGTACTATCTCAATGAAAGTGGAAAGCGAATGTATACACTCAAGGTAAGCTCTACAATGTTTTGTTAAATTAGTCAATATGCCTGAATAAATAATAATTCTGCATTATTTTTCGTAGAAAGTGGACCCTGCAGGAAACCCTACGTTATCAGCTCACCCAGGTAAAACACGTGCTTTATTTTATTTGTACTATATTATAATTTGTATTAAATTCCAATAACGTGTCTTTCATTTCTCTACAGCTCGATTTTCACCAGAGGACAAATATTCGCGACAACGAATAACCATTAAGAAAAGATTCAACCTTTTGGTCACCCAACAACCTGAGCCTGTATATTGAATTGTTTTTAATGTTTTTGTATTGATACTGTATTAAGATTAATTTTTATGTAATGAAAGAACCAAATAATATAAAATTTATTTACTTATAGAAATATATACATTTTATTAGTTTAATAAAATAGATTTAAATACATATGCAAAAAGTATCTAACAAGATATGTTTGCTTAACACTGTAAGATCTTTTTTTTTAATAACTTAGTTTCATAAATGTGGATACAATAACTCATAATTTAACAATGTAACACTCCAAGTATCTGCATAAACTGATTAATAATCTTTCTATCATAATAAAGAAGTATTAACCACAATAAATTAAAACAAATGTCATGCAAAAATTCAGTGCAAAGAATCGTTAAGTTACCATTAATTTATCAATAATCACAAGATTCGTATGTTGTTTGTGATGTACATTTAGAATCTAGCATTTCATATATCTACATTATATTTACATAATATGCACATTATGAATCCACTTTATTTTTTAATATAGTAATAAGTGGTCATATATAAAACATAAAAACTAAATGATATTTGAGCATTATACAAATCAATTTCACATACAAAAAAACAACAAAGGCACTTTGTGCATCACACAAAATGCTTGTCTTGATATGTAAAAGCTTTATAACGGTACCCCAACAGATGCAAAATTTCACAACGCCTTAGTATTAATAATTAATGATTAGATTTGTAGATAATGCAATGCATCATTACAAATTATAATTGTGTATCCTTCTGGATTAGGAAATTACTAGCTCTTATACATTTAGAGGAGTTTTATAAATGAGCCAACCAAATCAATTTAATACTCAATTGACATCTCAAACTGATGAAGAATGAATTTATAATTATTACTGAAAATCTAATTGTTTTCTACTATGAAAATTTCGGGCCACTGATTTGATTTGCAAGTTAGCTATAATTTCAAACACATACCTCTCATTTATATGCATGCTGAAGTGAACATTCCACCGTGAATGATTTATGGAATATAACAATTTTATTAGTACAGGAGACTGTTTTATGGACCTCCAGATCATACAACTCCTAACAAATGTATGAGAATTGCAATATATCTATTATTCCACTGCAAAACCACAAGTTTCTTCAACAGCTTGAGTTAGTTTATCATATAATAATTGATAACTATCATATGGAGGCATATCTATTCTATTGAAGCATGTGTGAGCTTTTGGTAAATTTTGTACAGGAACATCTGCAGTTAAATGGATGGTAAATAATCGAGGTCCTGCCGCCCCAGTTGATCCTTGAAGAGCTTTAAACCCTTGTAATGGAACTCTTGAGGAACCGGTTACAAATTGCAATAATCTGGCTCGCATTTCTTCTGTATAGGACTCAACAGCCTAAAGAACAATATTCAAATGAAGTAAAGTTCAGTTTATAGAAAAATATTATTTATTAATATCATACCAGCCAGAACCAAATAACTTGTGGAGACTCAGGAACACAATGTTTAAGTCGTGTGTGTGCCTTCCAGTCTGCTACATCTATCTTACTAATTCCGCTTATTATAAGTTCTAATTCTCGCTCATCAAATGGTCGTAAATAATGTGATGGAACTAATTCACAGAACCCTAAAACATATATAAAAAAATGTTTATCATAATTTTCTACTGGCTGTAAGTGATTCTTTTGTATAATTATATACCTTTATGCAAATTCAAAAATTGTTGTTCAATGCCCCTCATAAAACGATAATTAACATATAATTTTACATATTCACGTTTATTATCTTCTGTTACAACAATGGCTGCACCACCTGGTTTAAGTTCATGAACCTTTAGTACACCGAAACTATTTACTTCGACACTAAAGGTTGTATCTATAATCCCATCTATATTATTCTCCCTGTGATAAATAAAAATTAAACAAATTCTTCTTATCCATGCAATAATTTATTTTCATGTACTACTCACAACATCCAAGTTAAACTTCTATGCAGCTCAGGATCTACTCCCTCTATGTCGCTTAAAGTGGTAGGTTTACATAATAATTGTTTATAAAAAGGCATAGTGAAACCACCATCTAAGCAATGGCCATGAAAAACTGCAATGCCTAATATTCTTCCAACAAAATGAAAATATGATAGATGCTCTGGATTCACACCTATAATATTACCAGGAAGAGAATGGATTTGTTTAGATAACATTAAAATAATTAGAATTTAATAATATAAAAATAATAATGTTGATAATCGATTTTGAAAATTACTGTGCATTCAGGATGCAACACAAATAAATGAGAATATATAATTAATATTTGATTACCTGATTCAGCATTAATTTGCAAAGTATAGTGATCATCCCGGCTATATTGAAAAAGCCCATATTGTGGGTTAAGCATTTCACGAGACAACAAATGCAGCCATTCTCTGGCTACTCCACCATAATCCAAACCCTCCTCTCCACGAAATTTAACCATTAATCTTTTCCTCATATCCTTTGCTCTCATTTTCATTATCAGTCTATTACAGAATATACCACATTTGAATATATGTCATATAATAACTTAATTTAAATAAGAAAAAAAATTACCTATAACTCTCCTCAAATATTTCAGTTCGAGACACTTCTAAGCGACAATGTCCAGACTGCGGTTGTAAAGCTTGTAATTCTGACTTCAGAGCTTTCAACTTACCAACTAAATCACGTTTATATTTAGGCAACAATTCTTGTCCTTCGGATAATCCCTTAGGCAATTGCTCTGTGCGGGTCACTGTTGCTGAAGAAGGAATCTGCGGACCCGGTCGTAAAGGTGTTTGACTCGTACTCTAATAAAAAAAAATTAAATATTTTCTCAATGGTAATAAAAAAATGTAATTTAGAAATTATCTAAGTACTATCTCACATTAGTAGGCAGCCTGGTTTCTGCATTAACTGCTCTGTTATCAGAATTTCTTGAACTAGTTACTGAATTATTATTTTGTCTCCTCATTAAATTATTAATTACAGCTCCATTCAATCTGGGATCTGTGAATTGAGTGGTTCTATTATTATGATCCACATAATACACTCGTCCAGTCTGGGTGTGTCTTAGCTCCCAGCCATGAGGCAAGGGTCCTAAAGCATCAACAGATAAAGCTTGAGGGTCCAAATCTCGAGGAACTCTAGGATCATGCCATGTTGATACACCAGTAGGTGTATGAAAGAAATAAACTTGACCTTGTAAGGTAGTGCGCACCTCTGAAAAATATAATTTAATTTTTTAGAAAAATAGTTTTCTCAATGTTTTCATATAATTAGTGTTTAAAATTCAGTAAGCCAATTTAGAGAACAAAAATGAATTTATTTCTTACCATATCCTGGTGGTAAATCAACAGCAGGTCGAGTGGTTAATCTATTATTTGTATTGCTTGCAGGTACAGTGGAATTACGAGAACCCCGACCAGACCTCCTACGACCAGAAATATAGTCCTCTAAATTTCTTGATATTCTAAGAAAACAAAATTATCATTGTTACAGTATTAAATAAAACTAAATTTATCACTTACCTCCGGCCTCTTCCAGTTTCTGATTGCCTGGGGGTATTCTGCTGACTTCTATTTTGATTTTCTTGAATATCTTCATGATTATTTAAAGAATTATTTGCACTATCATTTCTAACAGCAGTTTCAGTATTATTTCTATTCTCAGGTAGATGGCTCGTGCAGCTATTATTTATTCTATCATTTATAGGAGTTGAATTTACTAAAGGTGTATTATTATTTTGTCGCTCATTGGGTGCTACTGTAGTAGTATTTATAATAGAATTCCTTGGAGACTTGCATTGTCTATTTGACTGCTCTATGATAGGTTTATTATTTATTGGACTTGTGGGGCTTATGGGACTTAAACTAGAGCTAGGACTTGCTAATTGAGTTGAATCATTCAATTCACTGCTGTCTGTGCTCATTAGAATCGGACGATGTTGACTGACATTGTTATCTTCATTCGAATTCAAAACTACATCAGCAATCACACTATGTCTTGAGTTTTCGGTAACGTGTGCTGAGCTTGGAGAAGTAGGGGTAGTTATCCGGGAAGGTTTTGGCTCAGAAGAAGGAGTAGTTACTGTAAACGTTGAAGATGTCTGTGTCTGGGAAACATTGGGTGAAGGTCGAGCCCATTGGGTAATTCTGGCAACATGGTTTACATAATATAATCTGAAATAACAGTAATGCAATATTACAGAAGGAGATTATACATAAACAACAGATTTGACAACAAAAGCTTGTCTTCTTAAATTCTGTATGTAAATATTTTAAACTAACCTTCCATTTTTGTCAAATCTTTCTTCCCAGCCACTGGGCAAAGGAACAGGTGCTTCATCAGCTTCAAGTGGACTATGCAAATCACCTGAAGGCCCACGAAGATCACCACCAGGACCAACAACAGCCAAAGGTGTTCCTCCACATGGACCATCTCGTGATAACAATGACACAATTATTTCACCTTTTACTGGATCTGTATCCTCTGCGGACATCTTTCCTAGTTCCAGACATTGATCTAAAAATAGTTTTGAAGTGAATTAGAAAATTTATTCTCACAGTCTTGCAAATTATTTTTAATTGTAAAAAATTTGATACTAGCTCATAATCAAAAAAATCTTTCTAAATATACTCACAACCAGTATCCTTGAGCCTCTGGATGGTTGGATTTGCTATTTTGACACATCCTAAAAATCCTCCGCTGCCTTCCTTTTTGTGTATTTTTTTGTTATTCCAAACACTGACTTTAATTACATCATCTCGTTCCAAATAAAGATCATAATAAGAATTCCACTTAGGCTCCAATGTTCCTTTACATGTTTCTGTTAAGTGCACTTGAGATGAGCCATCTACTGATATCTTAGCAAATGGATCAGGTAAACCTAAAACAAAATATTCAGGATAACTCAATTACAAATCCTGAATTATTGAAATCATCTACCGTAACCGTCTCAATATAAAATAAATTAATATTGCAATAAATATTGAATATTAATCTAATGGCCAAACATAATAAGCAACAATTTGCAGCATTCTTTAGTAGTGTTAATTAACTTGTATATTGTTTGATGAATAAATTTTAATAGAAAGTGTGTTATGTAAACAATAAACAAAAATGTTTGTGTATTGCACAATCTAATAAACAATTACTGCTTTGAACCATGTATATAAATAACTGAATTTTGGTTTAATTCACATTCACACTATTAACCACGTCATTTAATGTTTTTTATCCAAGTAACACGATGTTAAATGAGACAATGTTAAGGAATTTCTGAAGATTCTCAGGCAACAGTGAGCATTTTTAACCTTGACTTCTTAATATATTTCAATTGATATACTTACGAAATAAATCCTTCCGGGCTAAATTTCTTGCACATAAAACTGAAAAGCATAAACATAAGAATTATTCATTTTATAGGGAAATTACTACAGATTCTACTACGATTTTTTATGAAATGAAAGTGGAGTGCCATAATGAATTTGCGTGACAGACGCTGGGTGTAGGAAGTAATTGTTATTTTTGCATATTTTAAGATTCAATAGCATAACATACTTGTTAGTCTAATTTTTTGGGCACCGCTACGTCGTGCAGAAGGCTTTTGTGACATGTTTTTATATAAATAAATTCATAACTATACATCACTAATGATTTCATGTAGTTCTAGACGCCATTTTTATCTGTGACTAGTATTTGTATGGACATCTAATGGCTTGGACAAGAAATAAAATATAATTGGTGTGGTTGAAAACGAAAATAAACTAGGCGTTAACGTTTATTTTAAATCGAGCATTATATATAAAATAAATACATATATTCAACAAATATAATTGCCTAACTTGCCTTCAGGCAAAATGCTTGAACTTCCTTCCCGTAGCGTAATTCAAAAGTTTTAAAATGGCAGTTATTTTTAACATGTTTTGTTGGATATCCGCAAACCGCTGGACCTACCTTCCCAACAATTTAATAAATTATTCATTCCTTCAATACAAATAAAATCTTTTTTGAATCATATAAATCGGAGGCTTCGTTCTCTCAAAAACTGACCTGCCTTTGCCAAAAACTCAGCGCGTCTTCCTGTCAATAGGAATCAAATGTTTTTTGAATCATTCAAATCGGTTGATCCATAGATAAAAGAGGAGTATGGGTTGATCCTTGCTGTCGAAATTGTCGGCGAAAAATTGTATCCGCACATAAACACATTCATCCATTTTTTCTAGGTGTGCCAAAATGTTCAGAAACCCCTCAAAAGTTATGTATATGTGAAAATTTTCAATTTTGATTTTTTGGCAATTAATATTATAATATTAATAATATAATTTCTCTATAGGGAAGTTAAAATTTTAATATAACTTTTAACTTTCTTAATATTTTAACTTCTTTAATATTAATTGCCAGAAAATCAAAATTGAAAATTTTCCATATCTAACGTTTCAGGGTTTCTGAACATTGTGGCATACCTTAGAAAAAATGGATGTATGTGTGTATCTGCGTATACAGTTTTTCGTCGACGATAACGACAGCAAAGATTTTATATTTTACATTTTAACCCTTAGGATTAAATTAAGTTAAATTAAGCTTGATGTTATATTTTGTTTTATTTTTACAATAATACTATTTTTATTTTTATATTTGTTTGTCAATGATTTACTAAATTATCAGACCAATAAATAGTAGTATTTTTATAGTATATTTCGCATTGTACAATTTTTTTATAATTTTTATTTCATAAGTATGCCATTTTTGTTTGTATTATTAGTCATCCATGCAGACCAGAGTTGTTTCCTTATTTTAACTTCATGATATGATTACATTCTTCATATGATTTGATCACATTTCATAAAATAAATATCCTAATCATTAACTTTCAGTCTCGAGTACTTCATTTACCACAGCATTTTTTGCAACTGGGTTTTCTCGAACAAGGTTTTGAGCACGGTTTGCAGCATTTAGGTTTTACTAAACAAACGATTGCTTTTTTATCACATAGCTCGCACCCTTGAAGACGATCGCAACAACCCCATTTCATGAGAGTCGGAATGCAACATAATCTTGTTCGGCAATCATTTTTAAATGGATTGCATGGACTACTCCAACTTAAACAAGATAGGTTTTATATTTAGCTATATAAGGATTAGATACATGTTTGTATTCAGAACTATATTTTAAGTACACTTACGCGCATTTATCACCAACTTCGACTGTAACGAAATGGGCACACGGTGAAGCACATTTCATGGCTTCGCACACCAATCCCTCAGCTATACAAATATATAAGCATTTCATTAATTCACTACTATTTAAAAAAATTCATATATATTAATTTGCACAATACATTTTAATAAATTTATAGTTCTATATGAGTTATTTTCATTTGATATAAAAACCTTAGGTAAGATTTACCGGCGCAGCATTGTTCGCACCAGGAGTGACCATTGCATTTGGAAGCAATGAAAAGAACAAAAACCTCATCTAAACATTCTTCATCTTCAAAAAACCGGCAAAAGCTGTCATAACCGCATAAATAGTGGCAGCAAACCATATTGTGCTAACTATTTAATAGTTAATATTTTTAAAGGGCAAAATATATGTAATAATTGACAAAATTATTATTTCAATATACCTTTGTTATTGTTTTAATCAGATTCTTCCTCTTAGCAGAACACATTAAAAAAGCTCATCCTGAATTGACCAGATTCAGTAATTGGATGTTACTAATAATTTTTTCATATTTTGATCATTCCATTTAAATGACAGTTTTTTTTTATAAATATTTGACTAACTTAGATAAAACAAATGCACATTCAGTGCAATACAAATTTAATAAAATTAATTATACCAAGAATTATAAAAAATATTTATTTGTAATCAATACTACATGTATACAGTATTTATTAATCTGAGGCAATTTTTGAATCATAGATTATAATTTTAATGCTCTACAATTTGGAGGAAGATTAAGCTGTGTATAACAATTTTGTTTCAATAATAACACTTGTGTTTTTATCGGTTCAATTAATGTACCAATTACTTCTCTAACAGTAGGATGGTAAAAGACTTCACTCAATTTATTAAATAAGTCGTTTTCAATACCCTGAATATCATACAGAATACTAAAAGTATTAGAAATTATTTAGGATGCTATTGTAAAACATTTGTACAAAACTTAAGAGAAAAACTTACCTATGTATCACAGGCATTAAACTTTCCAATTGCATTGGATTGGTATAATTGTGTACTATTTGCCAAGAATTCATCCAAGTTTGTATTCTAAAATACATAGATATAATTATTTAAATTCTTATTATTTTGGAATTAGTAATATACTAACAAATCGCTCAATAAGAATGCATTCACTCTATGACGAATTTTGAACAAGCTCTCCATGCAAATAGCAATTTGACTTCCTGGAAATTTTAAATGCTGCATCACACATGCTGTGTCACCTGATTCAAGTTTTAGTGAATGTTTCTGATATCCCAACTCCGCTTCAACAAACCTGTCCATAAAATAGAACATAATAGTAGTAGTAGTAGTATGTAAAATAAAATAATATAAGATCAGTTGCATATAATTATATCATACTCTAAGACTTCTGATGAATAACCTCGATTTATCCATGTCTTCATGCATAGTGCAAGTGATGGCAATCCAACTGGCAATAGTTCACACAATGTAGCATAATGGTCAAATCTAATTATATTCAGAAATTATACACACTCAAACATAATATATATATATATATATATATATATACATATGTAATCTTTGAAAATTATATTACCTCGACCATCCGGTGAATGCTATACCCCGAAGAGACGACTTAATTGAACTATAATTTGTAAGTTGTTCAAGCCAAGCTTGATGATTACTCACATGATATAGTTTATCAGGTATTATCTGGAATTTAAAAGAATTTATATAGAAAGATATTAGATTAATAAATACATTTATAAATATATAACAATAACAATAGTTTTATCTTCATATTATGATTTTATTCATTTTACTTGGCAACTGGATGTAGCTCCTTTGAAAGCACTGGCAATCCATATGTGTTGAAACACCGAATGATATTTTTCTAATAACTGGCCATCAATATTGAATACTTCTTTAGGCAAATAGCACCAAACCATAGGTTCCACTAAGTTGCCGATATTATACTCTATCATAAGAAAATTTCACAGTTTACAAACAAAGATTAAAATTAATACAGTAAATTAAATTACACCTACTATTCAAAATTTCAAGTGGTATGGAACGCAACATATCATCCCAGATGATAATTGTAATATTAGGATGAAACGTTTTAATATAATTTGCAACTGCAACCAAATGATTTAAAAATAAATAATATTTTTTGTGAGGATTGTCTTCACTTGCATTAGAACAGTCTTGACATAATCCTAAGTGCCAAACTTCATCGCAACCTAGAATATTAATAAGTGATGAAGCAATAAATTCAAATGTAATCATACGAAGCCTGATGTATATATATATACATCAGGCTCTGTATGACATAACATATGTTATGTATACCTATATGGATGTATTGTAAATTTTGATGAAATGAAATAATTTGATCAAGCATTTTCTTAATCACCGGTAATGTTTCAGGATGTGAAGGGCATATTGAAGAAGGATATTTATCAACTTCTCTTAAGTTATACCATTTTTCATGCTTCAGCAAAAATTCCATATGTCCAAAAGTTTGGATCAAAGGAATCTATAAATAAATAAACGAAATATATATATATATATATATATATATATATATATATATATAGCATAATATTATACTTACAACAGCTAAACCATTGCTTTCAATAATCGAAATTAAATTTCTAGCGTTGTCCTCAGTGTATGGGAATCCATTTTCTTGAGAACTCGCTGATAATGAGCCTAGTTCAATCAGCTCACCATGATAGGGAAAAGTATCCTCCCATTCCAGCAATATGCCGGTAGCACCCCAATTTCGTAAAACTGGAATAAGCTAAGTAATATTAGTAAGTAAATAGAATAATGGGCCATATTGACACAATATGTTCAGGCAATACCTGTTCAAAATAAGATATTTTTGGAGGAGCACCTTTCAGGTCTAGGTGTACTAATCTATAAAGAATTATATTATGGGGGTTAGGAAAATATATAATCAGAGCATTAGGCTATGAAAAATTACTTATACCTGTGTGAATTATAATCAGAACCCTGCATAATGATTTGATTTAATACAACTGCTAAATGCACTTGTGCTTCTTTTATTGTTTTGGTTATTTTATACAAAATGTCATCATGACATTTATAACCACAACTACCTTTTTGCAGATTTTTTGAAATTATTTTAAAAAATAATAGAATTTAAAATGCTGATCATTTCGACCATGAAGTAATTAACTATTTAAAATACTGGCCATTTCCGCCATAAAATAAACTATTTAAAATACTGGTCATTTCCACCATAAAATAAACTATTTAAAATACTGGCCATTTCCACCATGAAATAAACTATTTAAAATACTGGTCATTTCTACTATAAATTAAACTATTAAAAATACTGGCCATTGCCACCATAAAATAAACTTTTTTAAAATACTGGTCATTTCCGCCATGAAATAAGCTACTTATAATACTGGCCATTTCCACCATAAAATAAACTATTTAAAATACTGGTCATATCCACCATAAAATAATTAACTATTGGCCAAAAAGGCCAGTTTTTATTGGTAAAATTTCAATTTACTGTATCAAAGTATTAAAGACAATTTTTTAGTATAATAAATTTTTATTATAAAATTCTGAATAAGGATACTTTAAATATAACAATTAGTTTTTATCATTTACCATATTTATATTAATGCAGTACATTAATAAATACTGATTATATATTGAAGCAAATTTGTTTAATGCCTTTACAAATTATTAGTATTTGAGCTACATTTCAATTTTGATTTACTAAGTTTATACAGAACACAATTCTTCATTGATTATGTGAAAAAAACTACATATATAGTTTGGCAAACTAATAGTTGAATTTTATTTAATTACATTCTTATTAACTGACACTGAATATATATATATATATATATATATATATATATATATTTACTTTCCAACTATCACAACATTTGTATATGTATTTCTTGTACAGTCCATGAAATTAAACTTTAATTTTAAAAAAATATTTTGACTATTCAAAACTGTTCATTCTGGCTTAAAAAAAATATATCCTGAAATGTTATTGCAAAAACAATTATCGGGCTAACTTTTTCTTTGCAGCAGCTTCTTCTTTCTCTGAAAAAAAAAGAATTTCAATTGAGACCAAAAATTTATGTGTTGTCTAAAATTTTTGATCAACATATAAAATGCATAATATTTACCTTTCTTCTCCAACTCGCGTCTTTTAGCTGCTTCTTCACGCTGTTGTTTAATGATTGCAAGTCTTGCTAAATCAGATCTTGCTTGATCAGTTTTGCCTTCTGCATGAAGCTTTTGGTAATGTGCTTGCGCTCTCTGCTTCTCAACTTCTTCTCTTTCTCGTCTTGACAATTGTGGTTTGCTATCAGTTAATGTTTCATTTAAAGTAGAAAGTTTCTTGGTTTTTTTTTGAACACGATTAGGATTTTCCACTTCTATCAATCCAGATACACCTTTCTTCTTATCCTTCTGAATTATGATAGTAATATATAAATACAAATTGTATTATTGAAAAATATAAGAACAATTGAAGAAAGAAATATGAACCTCATCTTCTGAAGATTCAGTCTCCGATTCACTCTCTGAATCAGAGCTTTCCAGTCCTGGGGCTTTCTTCTTATCACCTGCAGCTTTTTTGGCTACTTCCTCTTCCTCAGAACTTGATTCGTTTCCATGATCCCTACGCCATCTAAAATGGAGAAAAACTCCTTTATAACCAAATGAAACATAGTTTTTTCATTTCTACATTTTCCATTTAAGTTTAGAAAGCATAACTTACTGCCTTTTTTGTTCTTCTTGCTTTCTCTGTTCCTCTAACTCTTCTGGATTTGTGAAATGCCTGTTACGCCCTTTGTGATTGGTATATTTTCCTATTAATTGCGTAAATTAGGTTAGGTTAACTTCGCAATAAAAATATGTTAATACGAAACATTAACTTTAAGGATAATTACTGAATAATATAATAACATAATAAAACACAGTGAAAAAATTAACAATTTCAATTTAATGTGAGTTTAAAATAAAATAATATATGTATAACTTTTTGACATTACATTTCCCAGAATCTTACCTCGTGGCATTTTGTAATTATTTGTTATAGATATCAATTTCGACAAGAGTAATAGATGTGGCTGAGTTTATTTAACTTTATATAATTTTATTTGAAAGATAATATTTTCATTTTATTTTTGCCATAAATTTTATGCTTTGATTAGTGATTTGCCATTATGCTACAGTGTGGCCATCTTACTTTGAAATATAAATAAGAATTACTCTGGTAAATTTGAATATATGAAATTTATATGAATTCAAATTTAATTGTTATAGGAAATTACAATGTTATTTGAATTCATAAACGTTTTTTTTTCATTACAAACATTATATCCTATGTTAAAATATAACTGAATTAATAGAAAAATAGTACACCACATACATGTTTATGATCATAGATAAAAGAAGAGTATGCTTATGGTTTTTTAATAAATATTTTTAATTCTAAAGATAAAAACAACAGCCTAGCAACTTAAATAATTCTCAAATCTATACCTATTTTGTATATGTGCAATTAACATAATTTAGTTTTGTCATAACATATCATAACATCAGCTCAAATTATTTAATAATCTTTGCTTTAATTCAATTCTAAACTTTTATTATCCCAGCCAATCTGTAAAGTATTCACAAGTTTTTGGTGTAATAGAACCAATATCTGAACACTTTGACATGACTGGACAAAGACCACATGGGACAGCTGAAAGACCAGGATCTGGCAGCAAGCCATCTATAGCTTTATATAAAGTACTCCCATCAACGGATATTATTTTTTCAGCCTTTCCATCATAGACTAGTGTTTTTAAAATTGTTTCTAGATCTTCTAAATCCAAATTAACCTGAGCAAAATTAATAAAACATAATAATTATTTCCAGATTTACTAAATCCAAATTAACCATAATAAAAGTACAAATATAATACAAATATTTACAGTTTTCTCACATTTAGAAAAAATTATATATAGTAATAATAATATTATTAAATTGGAAGTTTACTACCTTACTGATTCCTAATTCCGATATGAACTTGTGTACATCTTTAACCGAAGTAAATGCTACATTTCGTGCAGCTATGGGACCTGCACTAATATTTGTTGAAGACTTTTTTCGTTCAACCAAAAATCTCAAACATTGCTGGTTAAGAACTTCTACAAATTCTGATTCGAAATCTTGATCTTGATACCACGCTCCTCCGGTAATTGACCTATCTGGTTCTAAATTATATAACATGTACACTTTCTTTTTGCTTGCCTAAAATGGAAATTGTTTTCAAAAAGATAATTGCAGACCTTGAAAAATGAGCTTATTGTAGTAGCTACTTACATTAACTGATTTTACAGCTTTGATAAGTTTTTTATTCTCTAAACTTTTGAGGATCTTATTCAACTGAGTCATTAACAAGTTTGATTTGAATCTAATATCACGAATCCAAATTCCTTTATTACCACCTTCTTCTATAATTCCATATACTATTTTTTCTTCGTTGTCGGCTCCTTTAACAGCATTTTGCTTGGTAGGGTCTTTTAGTCTATATAATAATGTTTTGCCTTTGGAAAGAATTTCTATTAAATTTTGTTGCAGTAGTTTATTTATAGCAGCAACTCGTTGCTCTGTTGTTAAATCTGGTAGCTGAGCAACTAATTCAGAATCGGGTAATCCATTTGTATGGCCTTGCATGACTGCTATTAATCTGTGGCCAATGTCTACTCCGCCAGATTCAGTAGCTGATTCAGACATTGTAACAGAATTTGCAGGCACTAATGGCTAAAAAATAATAGAAGTTGTTTTGTATTTTGTGCAAACAGAATATGATAATTATGATGTCAATCTTTCTTTACAAATGTTTGTTCAAACAGAAATAATTATTTTCTGACAGTAATATTTAATTGAGCAATATTTTTAATTGTGTCAATATTTCCACACGCGGCATAACCTCAATTTGCTCAATTTGACAGTTCGTTGTTCTTCGTTGTTGGTAGCACTTCTTATTATTATTTGAAGTTTGCTGCATACGTCAAATATCCGGAAATTGTTCCGGAAATGCAAAAAACGGCCGGAAATTGTGCCGGAAATGCAAAAACGGCCGTTTTTTTGCAAGAAAAAAATTCAAAATTAAGTAAAATAATTTGTGAATATACTATACATTTATGTGTACATTAATATAATTTCCGAGTAATTTATAAATGTGTTCACAATATATATTTATAAATGTTAAATTTTAAAAAATATATATAAATATTTATAAATATATTAAAATCATATAAAAATCATATATAAATATATTAATAAATATACATATAAAATAGGTGAATGATGCAGAATCGTTAGTTGGAATGATCTCATTTTCAAGAGAAATCCTTTTATTAGACTAATTAAGAAGAGAAATACCTTAGATTCTCGGTATTATTATTGAATCCACAATATTCAGGCAAAACGTCTCAGTATAGTAAACGTATTTTCTTCTATGTATTTCAAAATATTTATACATATTCTCATATATGCATATACATTTATACATATAAATATATATATATATATATATATATATTATAAATATATATATATATATATATATATATATATATATATATATATATATATATATATATAAAACATGCCTACAAGATAAAATTTTAAAATAAATCAATGTTGAAATATATATATATATATATATATATATTCATATATATATATATATATATATATATATATATATATATGCAAATTTAACCTGATTTGAACTTTAATATAGATAGCATGTCTAGAGTTTGAAGTGGACCATATTTATCGACTAAAAAAATTGATATAATTAACAAATGTCACGTCATATATTGAATCCGCGACAGAGTTTCACATCAAGCACTGAGAGCAACAAATTTTGAACATTTGTAATACTTATCATATTATTTTTTAAAATAGTTTATGATAAAGAAGCGTGCATTTGTTTACCGTAAATAGTGCATCAAGGAGTAATATTTCAATCTAAAAAATTATGCAAAGGTAAATAATAATACTATAACAAGCATATGCCAAGCAGAAACATATGCTCATACAAATAAAATAAATCTTAATTTACGTTTTCAGAAATAACTCCTAATATGAGGCTTTTAACATACTCTATTTTTTTCTGTCTCTTGGGTATATCATATGCTGAAATTTATTTAGCATATACAAATAACTCAGGAACTTACACAGAAAAACGACCAGCTACCCCTTACGAAGAAATTCAAGTGCAAAGTGTTCACGTTTCGGAAAATACCGAAAATGCTGAAACAGAAGATCAAAACGATTTGCAAGTAGAAACTGTTCAAAATAAATCGTCGGTAGTCAATGTTCCAGTTTCTATAAATGACAATAATGTGAATAATAATTTTGGTTTGAGAAATCTTCATAGTGTTCAAAGGACTGGGTATACTTATCGAAATAATGATTGTGTGTCCTGTAAGGACGAAAATCGCCGTGTAAATAGTTATCCACCTTTAGAACCAGCCTCTGATTCAGTAGAAGATGTTGATGCCGAGACTGATTGCTGTTACATTTCCAAAAAAAGACACTGTCTTGAAAACAACGGTGTTTACACCTGCAAGACTCAAGTTTTACAAGCATGTGGCGAAAGGTATAATATTAAATAATATATACATGTAATATATTGTCTAGATATTTGTCTATTATATATATACCAAAAATATTCCTAAAATCTATTTTCTTTAACGCTTTGAATAAAATATTTATTTTATTTGTAGATGTCACAACCCTAAAAATGGCGAAGAGGCATATTTCCAAACGGATTTAGATAATCCAAAACCTGTTTCAAAGCCTAAAAAGAAAGTAACACATCCCTACGCAAACGTCCCACATCATGAAAAAACTTATCCTGGTAAAAGGCATCCTAGACCATCGGTTGTGCCAATTAGACCAAGAGAGAGACCTTATGGAAGAACACCAGGTGCACGTTATCCATGGAATAATGGTAATATTTGTTAATACATATTGCAATTAATTGATTTTATTAATTTTTTAAAACTATTTTTATAAACAAAATTTATAACTTTCGACTTACCTGGACTGGATTACACACTTTCTTACCACTCTGTCCACTCAGTATGAAAATTAATAAGCTATTATTAATATAACATTTTTTATATTTTTAAATATATCATCCATTTGACTTGAAGACATAAACAATTATTATAAAACAATTTAATTTTAGGTGAAGATAACTTTGACCAAGGTGTATATGATACTGAATTTGATCAAGGGACTTCATATCACAATGTTCGTCCACCAAGGCCATACCATAGGCCAGGGTTTCACCATAAATATCCTGGTCACAGAGTTCGATATCCTCAACCAAATGCCTACTATCCTAATGAAAGACCGGTTTCTTTCTACAGAAATCCACAACCTAACAATTTTTACAGAAATCCAGGTTTTAGTGCTTACTATGGAAATTATGGGTATGGAAATAACTTCAATGGTTTTCGTAGAAATCGTCGAAGATACAGGACTTCGTACGCTCCCACATTTTCATATCAGAATGGAGGAGATAATTATTATAAAAAATAAACTAACATCGTATAATATATTCTCGCAATAATTTAGAATTTAGATGCAATTAAAATACTACGTCCTAGGTTTTAGACGCTGCTTTTATTATGTTGTTAAATTGTTTAATGCATTTTGAAGTTACAAGTCATGATGATACAAACCTAAAATTAAAATAAATATATTATTCATTTTTTGTTACAAACTATGTAAACTGTTAATTGTTTAAATTTAAGTTTTAGAATTGAATAAATTTAAAATAAAGCTGCTTATACTCAGGTATTAATTTTAGATTATACTAACTAAAAAGTTGGTTAATGATTTGTAATTTTTATCAGGTAACCCAAAGTTTAAGCATAACTTGAAGTTTTGTACAGACTTCATAATTTAATACAAAATAGATTATGTCTAGAATACTATACTCTACTCATTATTAATAAACACAATCGTTGCATTCTATAGCCATATATTATGCTCAATTGCACAATTTTTATTTATTTAATTTAAGCCTCTTTATCTCACAAAGAATTCGAGCATATTTTACTGTACCTACGGTTATGGCGAAATCTACAAGGGAACAATTGTTATTGAATGTATGAAAATACATAGTGCGAGATATGTATTTAAAAATTATCTATTTTGTCGTCTTAGATTAGATAAAAATTAGTGAATGGAATGCAAAATTATATCCAAAAAATTATTTGCAGTAGTTAGATTTTAAACGTTTATGTGTGGACTTTAAGATGAGGTAAGTCACCAATATTGAATTGTTTTAATAAGGCAGAGAATAGGTATATATATATATATATATATATATATATACATATAAATATTCATAAACATCATGTCAAATTTTATATAATAAATAACTTTAAGAACAGAGTAGTACTATTACTAATCATCCTTGGATGTGAATGAAAGCCGATGTTTTTTTAAATCAATTTTATATCGTAAATTTACTAAATTATTTAACATTAATTTCCAATATTGTGCTTAGTTTTTCGTGAATTCGGTTAAACCAACCGATAGGAATCCCAAAATTTTAATTATTTCATAGAGTGTTAATTTAAAATCTAATAACGTATAAATTTTTTTTAAATGATTATTGATGGAAAAGAACATTGTTAAAAGTGATTATTTAGAACGATAAGCATCTATGTATAATTTATGAAGTTTCAATATGATATAAAAATTTGTATTACATTTCAACAATGATGGTTATAAGAAACAATACAAAAATTGTTGATAAGATATATAAAAAATTTCTGCTTTGATTTTATAGTTTTTATGTAAAAAAATCTTAGTAATCAAATATTACAGTACTTTCACAAGAATAAAATTTTGTCAGTTCGAAATATAGAATTATATCGTAACAGAAAACCCATGCTAGTTATAATTCCTACTCTTATTACATTGTTTTATATTTATTTTAAAGTAATCATTTTATTACTATTTAATTACACTAGACAAATACAAATTATATCATGTTACAAATATTTGTAATCTCAATTTGATAATCTTTTATGACAGGATATTGCATGTACCTGTAACCCATTTTTCTATGCTACTAATTTCTGATGAAAATATTTGTTTTCCGTATCAAAGTACTGATAGTGATGTCACATGATAGTCATGGCCCTATTTTTTGTTCATCTTGAAATTAATATAACAAACGTAATAAATCTAACATAAATTAATATAATTTTTAGGGTATATCAAAATCAAATTAGCAAGAGATCCTGAAACACAAATTTAATATTTTATGATCTCAAACAAAATCGAGCAGTTTTTATCAAATTATCTATAGCTAATATTTTTAGCAAATACATGAACTAATAAATTATTATTTTTCAGATTACATATATTGCTATTTATCACAATATGTGTATTGGTTGGTTTTGCGAGTGTAAACTGCCTGCCTTCGATGAAACCATGCAGTAAAGAACGATGTCCTCAAACTGAATATTCAGCTTATGGGTCATTCTTTTACAAACCGTACACCAACCATACCTTGACATTTTAGATTTGGCTGAAATTTTTTTTATAGATATTAGACATGAAATCATTTGACACGTATTTCAGGATTTTGCCGGCAAAAAATTTTTTTGGTTGATATTTACGATTGAAATATTGCCGATTTCTCAATTTTTTATGAACTTCCTCTGCATTATGTTAATTATCTTCAGTTGTGTTGATCAGATCAGTATTGTTTTTTTTTATTATATTCATTATGAACTCAACTTTGAAGTAATTTAAAAAAAATAATGTTTTTGCAATTATTTTAACAATAATAACAATTGATTGTTTACATTGGTTTTACATACGGGCGCCCCGACTTAAATCGATTGCGTAAAAAACCATATTGTTTCTTTTTTTATCTACTTTAATATTATTTTTACTATTCGATGGCATGGCTGTTACATCGGAAGATATTAAATGTTTTCGAGCGCAAGTCGCGCCGCGCGTCCCTTTGAAAGACGCATCGCGCGTATTAAATGAGTACAAGTACTATTTTTAACTAAAATATTTTACAATTTCGTTACTGAGAAAAAATAAATATATTGTCTAAAATATGTTGTAGAAAATATTTTATACAAAATGCTCATATTTTTGAAACTGATAAACTAAAACTTATTATTCGTTGGAATATGAACAAAAGTTAAATTAATTGTATTGGGTAGGTTTGATTTCGTTAAAAAATAAATACAAGAGAATGCGATTAAAAAATAATTCATTTATTGCATTATAATTAAGTTTATATAATATAGCTTCTTTTGATGTACTACATAATATATATTCCATGTCACAACGTTAACAAGTTGAAAAACAGTTGAATCGCGTTCTTTTTGCAAAGAAAAGTTTTTAGGCCCGCACTTTATTTTTTTCAAGGTATAACACAATGATATTTCAAGGTGCCTTTCACTGTGACTGCATTTTAAAATCTTGTCTTCAATTTTTTATCGGCAACAATATATTATTCACTGGTTACATATTTCGAAGAAATGTTGCAAAGAGACTCATTTGCCCATTCAAATAATTGTTCTAGCGTTTGGATTGGATTTGATGCTCTTTGAAGACTAGCTCTGGCAGCTAGCCTTTTCAAGGTTCCACCAAATCCATCGCAAGCGCCCTTACCGTGTGACGTTGGGAAAAAGTGCCACTCTGCAACCAGACCAAAATCTTTTTCGTGGCAAGTAAGATTTACAAAATTCTTTTTATTTTTGTACTGCGCACCCGACCCATCAAAAAAGTATAAGATTTTTGTAATTTGCTTCAATTCTTTACCAACGAATTCAACTAAATGTTTTTCAAATACATTTAAACCGCTACAGTGTCGTGTTGCAGACATTCTGAAAAAATTACTAACCTTTTAACACGAACATTATCGTCATTATCTTTGTAATAAATTTTAAATGCACCGTAACCCGATTATTATTCCAATAAAATCCTTGAGCAGCATCTTGGACAACGCATAAATTATTTTCTGAAAAATCACACACTACGATGCATTAATTCTGTGATAGTTCTTCCCTTTTTTGTCATAAATTCATTTTGTTTTCTTACAAGAAATGAATGTAATAATTTTTCCAAAGTGGCCTGCAATTTTTGTAGATATTTGTCTACTGGGGATATCATTAATTGCAACATAGTTCTATCAACGTTAGTCCATTCTCTGTACCTAATTTCGTCAATATAATTTTTCTCAAAAATATTTTCTAATTCTGTGATCAAATTTTCTAGGCCAGGACACTGGGAGCACTTTCGAAAACAACAATTAAATACTACTACATATTTTAGACAATATATTTTCTTTTTCAGTAACGAAATTGTAAAATATTTTAGTTAAAAATAGTACTTGTACTCATTTAATACGCGCGATGCGTCTTTCAAAGGGACGCGCGGCGCGACTTGCGCTCGAAAACATTTAATATCTTCCGATGTAACAGCCATGCCATCGAATAGTAAAAATAATATTAAAGTAGATAAAAAAAGAAACAATATGGTTTTTTACGCAATCGATTTAAGTCGGGGCGCCCGTATGTAAAACCAATGTAAACAATCAATTGTTATTATTGTTAAAATAATTGCAAAAACATTATTTTTTTTAAATTACTTCAAAGTTGAGTTCATAATGAATATAATAAAAAAAAACAATACTGATCTGATCAACACAACTGAAGATAATTAAAATAATGCAGAGGAAGTTCATAAAAATTGAGAAAATCGGCAATATTTCAATCGTAAATATCAACCAAAAAAAATTTTTTGCCGGCAAAATCCTGAAATACGTGTCAAATGATTTTATGCCTAATATCTATAAAAAAAATTTCAGCCAATTCTAAAATGTCACATTTTTTTTTTACCAAAATCCGTACGATTTGTAAAAGAATGACCCTTATATAAAATGCATAACAGGTATCAAGTAAAAATAAAGAAAATATCTCAATAATAATAAAAAAATATATCATCTGGCAAATATTATAATCGATAAAATTATTCAGAAATAAAGTAAATGTATATTCCAGGCGTCAATGTTATACTAATTCGCCAAAGGTTGTCTTCAGAATTTGCCAATTAAATACTTGAAATTAAGGGGGTTGTTCGGTTTTTATTTATTTTTTTTCGATTTTGAGGTTTTTTGATATTATGAAAGCTATAAACCTTAGAATTATTTAAAAAAAATCATCTCAATATCTATTTTTTGACGAAGTTATATATATATATATATATATATATATATATATATCTATATGTATGATCCTCTGAAACCGTTTTTTTCATCGCTCCGGAGCTATTGTATGCCAGCTGCTCTCTTTTTCATTATAATACCTCATGCACATGACTTTTTTAATATGTCAGCATCTTTGAACACCATGGTGTATTTAGTACATTAAATTAAATGGTGTATTTAGTACATCATATTAAAAACTTTAAATACGTTTTTCTCAAATTGTCTTTTTTCAATGCGGTGCCACAAATTAAAAAAAAAAACTACAAGTCGAATCGACTTGCATTTTTTTTTTAATTTATTCACTGCTGCAATACCTAGTCCCCCTACCTCAAACAACTTGATAACATTA